GGGGATCGGGGGTATTACTTGCCCGCTGATATAATAAATAAACGGCTGTTGTCACTAATTTCTTTATCAAATATGACCAAATAAAGCGGAGTCTAAGGGAAATGTCGTTTTATATCATAAAAGCATGGTAATGATTTTTTAAAAGATGAACAGTTTTGGTCCGGAAAAAGAGAATACTTTATTTTTCTCTCCTAGTGTTTTTTTCTTACCGTACAAATAATATTTATCGACGGTAAATAAGCATATTTCTTGCGATTGAAGCTGTCTGAAAACAAGAACAATTATCTGACATTAATCGAATATAAAAGAGTCGTCTGCAGAAACTATTAACAGCTTGTAAAGACATGTATACATAAGGGAGAAGCTGTTTCTGATTAATCAGAAGTTACTATTTATAGATAATAATTATGTCACAATTACATTTATCTTGAAAGGCACTTATCCTTGAGAAAAGTAAATTTTCTTCCTTACTAATAATCAAATGACCTTGACATGTACGGGTAATGATATTTGAGAGTAAAAATGAAAAAAAATGCTCCAATTAATCGTGCGTTTAAATCTAATGTGCATGCGTGTGTCCGTGCGTGCGTGCACTAACAGGGAGCTAGTTGGCTAACTTACATAATACTGATTGTAATGCCGATGTAAAGAACAATGGAACACCGAGCCCGATACCCAGCCACCCACCCACTTGCGTCCCTGATGGATAGCGAAATCCTCCTCTATTTGATCCTGTGTATTGTAGGATGGCCCTAAAATTTCCTCCGCTTATTTGGCGCCAAACTAAACTAGCAGACGTTAAGTGGACAATCCATTTATTACACCTATTATCCTCCCGCGCAAACCCCCGAGAAAAGGAGCCAGGGTGTTACAATTAATCGGTGCATAAAAGCCAATTCTATCACGACATACACACGTATGTCGTGATAAAATTGGCTTTTATGCACCGATTAATAAAACAAAAATAAAAAATCTAAAAAATTCTACATCGAACAATATAAAATACTACATCGAACAATATAAATCAATACGTTAATTTTTTTGTAAATATAATTGATATTATTACAACTAAAGGAATAGCGAAGTATTTTTTTCTCAATAACGTTATGAAAATCCGTTACTTTACTGGACAATTCGCGTTGAAACCAGAGCTTCACGCCAGGAATTCTGGGAAACTCTTCCCACCTATATATATTTAGAATCAACTCCGAATGGTATGACAATTGTATAGGAATCGTTACTGTTTGTTTCTACTTACCTTAAAGCAAACACAATACTTTAAAAAAATCAGATAATCTCACATGTGAATTCGCATTAGGGAGACATTATTTATTTATTTATCTATTTATTTATATATCTACAAATAAGATCTTATTAACACTATGGGCCTATGCGCCAGTACAAATTTATACTCAGTGATATAAAGCTTACTGATTTCATTTAACTAACAGAACGATTGTTACAATAGAAAAAGGGACATTGGAACATTTATGATGAGGATATTGTCGGATATTAAAATCGTTCCAAAAATGAAAGTATTAAGTGATACAGAAAAATTGGACATAATTAAACAAGGTAGGTTTTATATCATAAAATATGAAAAATATTATGCTAGTAGTTCTATTAGTAAAGCTTTGTTAATATTATTACTGTCATAAGTTAATTAAGTCAGATTGATTGTTTTGAATATATTTTAACCAAATATTATTAACGACGGAATGTTTTGCAAAATAATTTACGAAATGAAGTCCGCATGTGGTTTAAGTTATAGAAATGTATGTATTTTGACTTTATGTTTATAAATGAAAATTAAGGGTTTAGTGTATACAGAACTATGGTTGCAGATTGTTATTTAACATTTTGCTTTAAAGCTACACGCCTCCAAATTTCTTAAAATTTGTATATAATATGTAAGAATTGTGTTAAAGTGAATTGGTCTATAGTGGAAGGTCTGTCTTACAATAAATAATTGATAGTGTTTAGTATCAGTCATAACAACAAGGAATGGAAAATATGATCACTGAGGGACCAATCCACTTTAATGAGAAAAACTTCTTTTAAGTATATTATTAATTATATTATTTGATTTTGTCATATGCACCAGTTTTACACACAAATTGTCTACAGCTTGTCAAAAATTTCAAAATATGCTGAAAATTGCCTTACTCTGTTACAAACGGGGAAGAAATTTGGTGCTAAAAATAGTACATTCTGTCATACTTTGCCAAAAAAAAAAATTCAATATTTCACCTTCATTGTAATAATTGTTCCACATGTTCAATAATATGAATGTTTTTTTTATTATTTACAATTTTTAACAACAAGTTTGCTCATATATTTTATTTTGTTTTCGTTTTTGAACATTTATTTCACTTCATCTGCAGGCGTGCCGCTTTAACCTAAATATTTATTACTTTATAAGTGTATAGAAAAGCTCATTTTATAAATTCATAGAAAAAAATCATACACGTGTAGATAATGGAATCATTTAATAAGTCCACAGCAAAAAAAGTTTAGATAATGGAATTATTTCCGTTCAGATATTTTACAAATATGTGTTTAACTAACTGGTTTAAGTGAAAGCAAAATGTATAATACAAATTATCTGCAGTTATTTATAATTATCTTGGAATTATTTATTTGTGTGTATCAAATCAGCATTGAAAACATTCTATAGAATAAAAAGCGGTGGTTTCTTTAAGCATAGCTTGCACTGTGTAAGTATATACATGTATAAAAAGTATATACATGTATATAGTAACTCTCGCTGTCATCTCATAAGGATTTTTAATATTAAAAGAGTCTTCAAAAATGTTAAACTGCAATCATGTTGCTTTAAGCTCGTAGACTCGAGTTCTTCTTGAATACTTGGGTCGAAGTCAGTTAAGACTATTTGTCCTTCAACTATTTTCTAAGGAGATGTTGACAAATATTTATGTAAAAGAAATTAGCAGACTGTGTACTTTTTATTTTAAGTGGCGGTCACCCTTTATGAATGCCAATTAAATCTAAAATGAAAAACATTGAACTACACAAGAAGTAAAAAACAAAAACTCATAATTTTCTTTTGCCTTTTACCAATCTTTTAGTCTTGTGTCAGCAACATATTTTCCCATGCCACAAGCGCACTTGTCGCTATTCATTCAATTTAAATTTTGAATTTTTTTCCTTAAATTAATGAAAGGTTTTGTCGAGATTTAAAGATGGACAAGTTCATTTAGATATTTTGCATCTTTGTGCGAGAGTGAACGGAATCGTAAAATAATCGTAACACATCTTATTGCAATTCAAAGTCCAAAGTATTTAAATGAAGTATCTAAACCTCATTATTAATTTTTACAACTTGAATGCAAATGGATAAAAATGCGCGCCTTTGTCAACAGTGTAAAACCCGTCAAATATCAGCTGACCAGCTTTTATACAAATGTCTTCTCAATTTTAGAATTTCGTATTTCATAATCCCTCTTAAATTCGTAATGAATTTTCCTAAATTGAATTTGGAAAAGTCAATTTTAAATGTTTAAGGGATTTCAATATCAAAGTAAAAAAAATAGCTGCCAAAGTTCAGTGGCTAGACAGACTGCCCGGATGTGCAAGCTGGTCTGGGTGTATACTTGTGGCAAAGTTTGATTATTCAGATGGTGATAAATTGACGATTTAAAAATCAAATTATCACGAATGTGACGTCAATGCTAGTTTCAAAAGAATATAGAATCTAGGCGAGTCACGATTTAACTGGTTGATATATGGGTTGACTTATTTAAACGTATGCTTTGAGCTTTTTGTGTTGAAAAGTGACAAGAATCAGATGGAAGAAATAAAAGATGCAATTTATTACCAATACATTCCTGAGGTATAAACGCCCAAAACCATGAAATTTTAAAACCTTACATAGATTTACATTAATAATAATAAGATATATTTAAGAAATAGCAACAGAAGTAAATATTTTACATACATCTATTTTACGACGGCCACTTTTACATTGTTACATAAATATCATTTGTTACATTATTAATTTATTACATAGAGGTACATGTACATAATTACAAAGAGAGCTTTTATATTCTTTTAATACGATACTTGTTGCATAGAGAAAAACTTTTTTCTGAACTCTAAGTATTGTGATTCATTTTCTTTATGTTCAGTTAAAGTACCGTTTGGTTATATATTTTTTTTCGAAGAACTCGTTGAAAGTATGTTACTCTCCTTTAAGAAGTTACAGACGAACTTTTTCTAGAAACTTTTAAATTGCTTTAACACCGGTTGGGCTAATTTCCTTATTGTCTCTTTACATAACAGTTCTTTATATCAACCTTTGTCCTAACCCTAAATCGGAAATTATCATGATCCCTCCAGTCTGACCAGGCTATATACTTTTGGGAAATTTAGGAAATTCATGAGGTTCTTGTTTAATTTTGCGGTTAGGATTTTTTTACGACAAGAACTATCAAGAAAGGCATTTTTATCGCCAATTCTATATTTTCGTATTAAATTGTCATACTTCATTTGGACTAGATAAAAAAGTACGTAAAAACAAGTTTTTCGTAAAGTGCTCTGCAAAATCTGCATAACCTGCACATGACATTAAAACACAATTCTATCACATGCTGTATAAAATGTCAAGACATAAAAATAAATGAGATTTACATCGCCTATAAAGACCAAAGCAGCATATGGCATACATTCTGAAGGTTGTTTGATTTGAATATTGTATTTTTGCGATCTGCAGCACATTTTCCAAAAACCGCAGACACCTTTCCACCACGACCTTGGCATTCTTTTATTTCTTCTGCGCAGTTCTCGCTAAAACTGACATACACTGCGCATACACGCATGCGCATCAGAGGAAATTGCTCGAAGACAAATTTTTCCCTTGAGTTACATAACTATCTTACTAAATTAAACTTAATGTCAACGTTGATGAACAAGCAAGCAAATGTATTAGCAAGAAATCTATCGATTAAAAATTATTTCATAATTTTTCTAATTTTTTTGTCTTTTTTTTCAGAGCATAAAATCTTGGTCAGTACACCCGGGAATGTAGTCACAGCCTCTCATGAGAACAATAAAGGTAATAAAAATTAGCAATTATAATCAATTATCGTATAATTCTGTATACATGTACCTACGAGTTTAGATGAATGTGGCGGTATCTAGACGTTTCGACGTCTATATACATGCCGAGCTATCTTTGGCTTATTGTGGTTCATAAAATACACGTCTGTGTCTAAAAGGAAAAATCACCCAATCGGACATTCTCGGTCCTTTTGGTTAAACAACGGATAAGAATTATGAATAATAGTCGATGTGTTCCGATTGAAAAATCAAACCACTTCTAAATTGTGAGAACAATGTTGCATGCGCGGAACCATTATCAAATCTACTTGAAAAATTGTAACAGAAACTTCTATTGTTTTTATATAAACTGCATGCGAATATGTATATTCTTAATAATAGATAATTCAGTAGAAATGTTCCATTAAAATGTTCCATTGAGAGAATAAGCCAATAAGATAATGTTCACATAAAATTTCATTAAGAAATTACTAGTATTCCGTGAAGATATCTTTAACTATAAAAAATACTCTCTAAAAATTATTTCCTATTCAGAGGAAATGGTGTTTATTAAACAAATATAAATCTGCCCTTTGTAACAAAACAACAAATCAAAGAAGCCTAAATTACAGCATTTGCCATGTTAGGATGCGTCAAACTTAAAAAGTAACAATTATTTTATTTTGTTCACATAGTTCATAACTTAACAGAAACGAAAAAAGTTGTTTTGTTTTTAACAGCTTTTTAAATTTGTGCTTAGCCACAAACTTACACCTAAACGTTTTTCATCGATATCATTTTGCTCTCTTAGAATAGTAACAAACCTTTGACAAGCAAAATAACAACGTGGGAAGGTTTCATTGTTCTACCTTGTTCGTGTTTCTGGTTAAAGGAAGACAAAAAGCAAATTAACAAAGCCAGTTTAAACCGGGAAGGGCATGCGGTTATTTTATTGAAAATACAGCTGAAAGATCTGTCATATCAAATATGTTACATTATCTGCAATGAATACATGGTGAACGGTTCTAGATATTCTTATTTGACGCGATCTCCCCGTGTTACTATATATAAATTATGCTGAGAAATTATTATATCAAACATGTCAACAGTTTTCTGAATATGAAGGAAATATTAGGCTATCCTAACACATTTATCAGTAACCTGGAAACAACATGTTGAAATTAACAGTAAACCATGACAGATAGTATTTCAAGTGAACAGATTCACATTAACAATTTTCTATTTTTAAGTCTTGCTGAAATTTTACACTAATAATGTTTCATCAACACCATATACATTCAAAACGAAACCGCTTCAACATTTATGGACCTAGTTTTTATACCTTTTGGAAAAGGCGGGATTTTCGCTGCAAGAGTTTGAAACATTTTAAAAGGCCCTTAGATTTATTGCCCATTTTCACTAACAAAGCTCGGATGAGGCTAAAATAATTGCCTTACACATTGAGCGCTAGTTTCAATGCCAATTTTCTAATTACTTGCTGCCATTTACATCATTGTAAGAAGTATTTAGTTTCGAATTCCATTTACACACTTTATTTTATCTTTACGTCTGCTTTGGCCATATCAGACAACAATTTCCCATCAGCCTGAAGCGAAAATAAATCTGCCCGCCTACACCTAATCAATGTCTCCTAATATAACGTAGCAGACGATAATGCAAAGACACTGTATAAGCTCTTGCAGTGATTTGAAACAGCAACTCAATCTAAAAACAGCCGCCGACTTTCCATAAGATAGATATGTGTCACAAAGACTTGGGAAAAAAACACATAATTCAACAGTCCATGCAAACTTTTTACTTAAAATGTCCATGATGTTACGAAATCACAATCTGTGCTTGATACTTATCATGTATAAGTATTTATTTCTCACGTGATCAAATTTTTGTTCTGTAAAGGTCAGGTCATGGAAATGATTCGGTACTTATTCCTAAATTTTTATAAGCAAACATGTACAATTAAAAAAAATTATTTGCCATTTAGTTTCAATATAAAATTTGTTCGATTTCTTTTCCAGTTACATTGGTGCTTTGTCTATCAGGAGCGGCGGTGCTGATAGCTTCACTCTTGCTTGTGGCCTTTCTTATATTAATGAAACGTAGAAGATGCCGGAAAAACCTAAAGGCACTCAAATACGACAACATGTTTACCACATTGTCTCGACCTGTCTACTCTGTCGTCGGAACTCGGCGTCAACTTAGTGCACCGAACTCCCGGACGAGTTACAGCTCATTCGATGAAACTAAGGACATTAAAGTGACCGATTTAGAGCTATCACAATACCGAGAAAGTAAGTCGCGTCAAAATAAAGACCATCTTAAGAAATACCCAAGCTTAGACGGCCAGAGCAACAAGCCGGCATCAAAAGGAATGAAAAGGTCGAAATCCATGGTTGCTAGGCTATCAATGGAAGAAGTTGAAAGGAATGTCACCATATCTTTTTCACTCAAATACTCACAGAAGTTACGGCAGTTGCGCCTTAAATTGTTACGCATGACCGATTTGCCTCTCAAATGCTACGGGTATGACATTTACGTCATCGTGTATCTGTTTCCGAGAAGTACAGACGGTGTACACAGTCGTAGTATTGTCGGAGGGAAGGAACTAATTCTAAACGAAACATTCTTGTTTGACGACATCATCCTAGCGGAAGTTGATAAGTCGACGCTCAGATTGGTTCTTATGTACAAAAAGAAGACGAGATCGGGGAAAGATGGTTTCCTTGGTGAAACGTATATGGAATGCAGTGACGTTGACTGGAGTAGCGAGGCACCTTTACAATTCGACTATGAATTAGAGAAAAATAAAATCAGAAATGTAAGAACTATTTGAAATTTATATGTTACTTTTTAAATCTCTCCATTTAAGAAAGCTTAGTAATGTTTTTCTTGTGGTTTTTTTTTTGTTTTTTTTTTTTTTTTGGGGGGGGGGGGGGGGGGGCTTGCACCGTCCGCTTTATCTTGATTAAAACAATCATTATTGCAATTATAATAACACACTTATTCTTCAAATCTACGCGATTTTTCAAACAATGTAACTAGTCACTATCTTTTTTGTTCAAAAACTATCAACGGTTTAACAACAATTGTGGACAAATATAAAAAAGGACAATAATAAAGTTTTCAATGAATATGGAATAGTCTTAATTTTCGAAGGCAGCTGTCTCCAAAGCGTTAAAAGTACAGTAATACGGTCCCAAAAGTGCAGTTATAAGAATTTCCAAGAAATCAATTGAATGCCGTATGTTTCTGGTAACCTTGGAATGCCATTTCAGGCACCATAATTAGTTTTCATCAAGTTCGTATGTTATTACAGTTCATACTGACACTATTATGTTTTTCTGGGTGCTTTTATTTCATCGAAAAATATCGCAAATGTATTACAGAATTAACTTGGCATGTGCAGTGATTAGATTTGTTCCCTATAGTTTCTGAGCGTTGTATATGTGGGAGGAGAAAAATCACTTTTTATATACGTTAAAGTAACCATCTTTTTTTTTTTTGGAGGAGAAACATTTTCCTGGCAACTGTAAAGAGACGAAAGCAAAATGGCGTTTTAACATATTAGTTTCGATACAGTTTGGGCGATATTAAGGCCAATCTATCACTTTTCGTGTCTGTTAAACATGATTTAACTTTTATATCATTGAGGTTTTGGTTAATTTTAAATGCCTTTATATTTTATTACATTATATTTTAGGGTACACGGGAGAAATATTTATTAGAGGACCTGGGTTCGTTATTTGTTTGCCTAGAATACCAATCCGTGGCTAATCGGATGAAGGTGATGATCCGGAAAGCCAGTGACCTACCAAAGTCAGATAAACTCATTGGTAGACCAGGTAAATACTGCTATTTTTACTTGCTCTTTTTATATATTTGCATGTTTAAAGATTTTTTGCGTTATTCGCAAGAAAGATTGTTTGGGGTTG